TATCTTGCCTTCTAAAAACATAAACACATTAAGCTTTTGGGTCAATCGCTAATCTAATAGATTCATGTAGCTACAGCTAATCAATTCATGCATGGAGTTACAACACCTCAGTTTAGAAGAAGCTCTGAGGATTGTTGAATAAACATTTGTTTTCTTAACTCTGTTTGATTGGGCTAATTACATTGATAAAGAGGTTATCTTTGCAACTTGGTAAAGTAAATGCCAGTTAAACAGATGTCAGATCAAGTGCAAATCAATGACACATAGACCCTTTGAACTTCTTTTGACTAAAAATCACCACAAGAATTAAGACCAACCAAAAAAGATTTTTTGAGACTTTATTGTGATAACAAATTAGCTACCAATTGTGCTCGTAGTCTAGAATCCATTAAGGAGCAATGCACCAATTGTTTATTTTTCCATGCCTATTGTTACAAGAATTTCGCAATTTCTTTTAATATATTTTTTTTAAAATGGGAAACCCCTTTATCCAACTAAGCATTCATAACACTCAACATGTTCAAGTAATTAACTATTGAGAGTTTATTAACATCAATAAAAGTTTTTGTTTTTTTTCCTAAATATTTTCATACACCTTCAAATCCTTTTGTTATTTCTCTTGTTTTCGAAAAGTTTGAAAAGTTTCCAATTCTATTTTCATTTCCAACCTAACCGAAAGAACGTACGGAAACGAAATTTTGGTCCTATTAGAGAAGACGGGAAAATTATCACATTTTAATAACAACACTTGATTTCTTTAACATCAATTTATAACCCAAGTTTGACATCACATATGCACACCCATACAGTACCACCGAACAAAGTACTAGCCAAAATTAACAGCAAACAAAGAAAAAAAGAAAAAAAAAAGCTTACTAAAAATAAAAATAAAAAGAAGAAAAAAGAAGCACTTTTTCATATTTTTTATTTTTTAGTGAATTTTTTTTCAGACTTCTCATAAATATTAAAATTTTAAGTATATTTATATTAGGTGTATCAAAATAAATAGATTTTCAATTAAAATCTAAAAAAAAAATCAAAAATAGATGAAGACAAAAATAAAAGCTCTTTTTTTTTTTTTTAAATTTCTAAACTCTATTAGAATGTGTGTATTTCTTAAATTTAAATTTATCACAATAGTACCTGTAACCCTGTGCAAGGCATGGGCATTTTACCCTAGTATCTATATATCTGGCCTTAAAGGGTTGCACTCTATCACAAAAATATGGTTTTACCATAAAATTGTGTAACATCAGTAACAAAATGTATAATCTCGTTACAAATTAGTAATAAAATGTCCAAAATTTTGTGGTTAATGATGTAAAAGTTTTTGGCTTAGTTACGATATTTTTTATTATGCCAATTTGTAGTTAGGTTATGCATGATGTAAAAGTTTATGATTTTGTTGCGGCATTTTTTGTTACGTCAATTTGTAATAGGATTACACATTTTGTGGCAGGTGCATATGGTAGCATTTTCCATATATCTAGGCTTGAATAACTTGATTTAGATCTGTTGTTATTGCATACGATGTAATGGGTTGGGCTAGGCTATGGGCTCATACAAGAAAATTGTGGGCTTATTGTAGGGCTTGGTCCAAACGGGTCAGACTTCTATATCTAGAGGCTCTGAATTATAAGATTTTCCTTTCTTCAAAAAAATGTTTGATTCCCTTATTAGATGTGGGCTTTTTCTTTTTATATTTGTTTTGAGGATCTTTCTTGCACATATTTATAATTTTCTTTTTATGTACTAAAAAAATGCAATTAAAATACAAGGAAAAATATGTGAAGTTTGTTGTGAAGTTTTCTCAAACCTATTATATTATTATTTGAAGGCATTTGTTATTCCCAAACTTTTAGAATTATGGACTTTTTTATCTTGTTTTTTCTTTTTTTTCTTGCCATTTCTATTGACAAATTTAAAATCCAAATCCATAAATTAAAATTAAATCTTCTAAAATATGCCCCTTCATTCCTCGGTCATTTGGCATATTAATTCCATGTTGATCATTCAAGAGGTAAAGTCTCATAAAATTATGAAGTCCGAGTGTCCATCAATGGCCGTAGGGGGTTCGAGGACAACAATGTGATGTTCAATCACCAAAAACTCCAAGCAACTCATTGTTGTCCTTTGTTTTTAATCTTTCCTCAACCTACTTACAAAAATATATATATTTTTTGACTGGTATCCGGCCGTAATGATTGACTAATATGATCTCAAAAATACATATATATATTTGGATTGGTATCTGGCCGTATTGACTAACTAATTTGAGAGATCAATCCCAACGTAGTGGACAGTGGGACAATGGGATTAAGGGAAGAAGAAGAAGAAGAAATCATAGAGTCCACTCTTTTGCTTATGTCTCATCTCTTTACTGACTGACTATAAAGCTAGTGTTTATATGGGTCAATCGTAAATAAGATAGTCTCTTGCTTAAAAATTCTATCTGTATAATTTGCATTTATTGAGAGAAAATTATACTATTAATACGTCTTGAATGTGGAGATTTAAAAGGTTGAATTTGGATATTTTAAAGGTTTGGAATCACTACGAACTCCAATGATGTGTTAAAAATACCAAGTAAAATAGATGCACTACTTGAAATTGACAAGCTGAGAGTTAGCGAGTTAGCAAAATTCTTGCATCAATTCGAAGAGAAGATCGAAAGCTTTCACGAGGAATTTGCGTTAAGGATGTGGTCGTATTAAGCAGGGAATAATGTCACAACTTGGGAATTTTATCAAATATTTGAGTTACGAATTCGATTTTAGATTTATATAAAATTTTGTAGAAATCCCTATAATTAGGTAGATAATTGTCGAATTTATTCATCATAAGGTGGTGGAAGGATGTAGATAGCTTTCATACTACTAGATCATTGAAATTTATACATATGTAGACTATTAATTAAAATATATAATAGGCAATCATTTGGTTATAAAATGGAAGAATTAGATAGTTTCCACACCATTGGATTGTTAATATTTGTATATATATCTAGACTATTAATTGAAGATTTGAAGGCCAAAGGCATCATTTGGCCAAACTAACAAAGCAATGGTAAACTCTCCGTACTTCCAATTCGAACTTTACTTCTTGTGAACTTGCTATTTTCAATTCAAACTCTCTCTACTTCCAACGCAAACTCGATTGTTGATATTTGTGTATATATCTAGACTATTAATTGAAGATTTGAAGTCAAAGGCATCATTTGGCCAAACTAACAAAGCAATGGTAAACTCTCCGTACTTCCAATTCGAACTTTACTTCTTGTGAACTTGCTATTTTCAATTCAAACTCTCTCTACTTCCAACTCAAACTCTATACCATCCTGAAAGCCCATCAGGGTGAGTACCACATGCACACAAACCATGGAACGCCATGGCCTCCCTGCCTAGCATATATATATATATATGGGTTCATTTTATGAGACATGAACTACCTTATCTAATTTTCAATTTTATGCTCACAAGACATACGGCTATGCATTTAAAAATTTTGATTTTTAGAATTTTGATTTTTTAGGTGTATATATAAAATTTTGATTTTTTAGGTGTATTACCCTAGTATATATAAAATTTTGATTTTTTAAGTGTATTAGCTTATGGCCAAATGTGTGGTATGTATACTTGTATAAATCTGTGTGTAGTGTGCTCAGCATCTCCATTGGAGATGTCCCACAGATCCTAATAATGAGCCAAGGCCAGTAGTATTGCCTCAACTAGGAATGGTGTAGGAATAGAACACCACAAATCCAATCCCTCTCTACTTCATTGCTATTCCTACTTTTATTCTAAAATTTTGCCCTATATTCCCAATACATTTCCAAACACAAGATTATGTCTCAAGATTTCAATATTTCAAAATTCCACTACATCTTGTGGCTAAGAGTGTATTGAAAAAGAGGAACATAAGGATATTATATGATAAACAAAAAAAGAGTGAACAGATGAGGGTTTTCAATGCCCTAGAAAATCGTATAATATCCACAAAAGTGAACTGAGATACACTGAATCGTATAATGCCCTAGAAAAGTGAACTGAGATATAGAAAATCGTAAACTATATCCTACAAATAACAAAATTTGTAACTTTTCAATGCCCTAGATTCGGCAATGAAATGAAAACCCCAAATTTCAAAATTTAATGCCCTAACTTTTCAATGCCCTAATTTCGAAATTTAAAATCCCAAATTTGAAATGAAAACCTTCATTTATGCGATACAAACCTGAATGTGGGTGTTCGATGAAGGTGTTCCTCGTTTTTCCGGTGGTGTACTGTTGGCCGTTGTTCGTTGCTTCCTCTTCGTCGTCGGTCTTCCCTTCGGAGTTCAGCTGAGTGAAGGAGAAAAAGATGGGCTGGAAAAGAAGAAACGGCTTTCGTAAAGGGAGAAGGAGATGGGTTTTGTGTAAAATGAAACGGCTTTCCAAAAACCGTTTTTCATTTATGATAAAATTCTTATTCTAGGCAAACAATATTTATAAATTGAAAAAAAAATTTATTAAAAATAAAAACGGTTTTACAAAAACCGTTTTCTATTTATTTTCAAATTATTATTTTAGAAAAATAATATTTATAAATTGAAAAAAAAATTAATAAAAATAAGAACGATTTTAGAAAAACCATTTTATATAAATTTAAGATTAATTAAGTGTTAAATAAAAATAATTTTACAAAAATCATTTTTATAAATAAAAATTTTATTATTTTTTTATTCATCAAAAACGACTTTCCCAATGCCGTTTTAATGAAAACGGTTTTGATAAACCCGATTCACTCTATATTGGGAATGAAACAACCCGATTCACTCTATATTGGGAATGAAACACATTTTTATGAAGAAAAATTTTATTATTTTTTTATTCATCAAAAACGACTTTCCCAATGCCGTTTTAATGAAAACGGTTTTGATAAACCCGATTCACTCTATATTGGGAATGAAATAACCCGATTCACTCTATATTGGGAATGAAATAGAAAACAACCTAAAGTCGGACTAAAATATTTAAAATGCCCCAGACAGGCAAATTGGCCCTCTCCCCTAGAACTCTCGCTCTCACTCTCACTCGCAGTCCCTCTAGTTTCTCTCTCTAGAAACCCTAGTGCTTCTGGATCCCAACCCTAGTGCTTTTGACCTATTGTGCGCCGGCGATAGGCCTTCGGATCGCCGTCGATCTCAGCAACGAGATCGCTGTCAAAGTGACGAAATCTCTCTCTCTCTCTCTCTCTCTCTCTTCATCCCCAGCGTCGCCGCTTCTCAAAGATTTTTCAACCTCTCCGTAGTCGCCGTCGCCATCGCCATACTCATTGTCGAACCGCCGGCATCCCAGATGTGTCAATTTCGGTGGTCTATCTGAGGAGGAGCTGAGGTCTGATCCAGCATCTCAAAGATCTAGCATTTCGGTCGCCGGCGTCACCTCTCAGGTCTGGCATTCTCTCTCTCCTTTTCTCTCTTTCGTCGAACCGCCGGCATCCCAGATGTTATTTTTGATAATAAATTTATGATCTCGTAGCTGTAGTTAATACATGATAATATTTGAAATTCTATTATTTTGTTGAATTCAATTATTTTTTTTCATTTTTATACTTATATCTTTAATATATATATTTTAAATATATTTTATGATGTAATTATGACATCATGTTCGACCACTTTAATCCCGTTGTTGAACAGGTAACCGTCGACCGGTCCCTTTTCCATTTGGCTCACCGGGCCATTTTTCAAAACATTGCCTTGTATAATCTCGGTTCCCTCTGTAGTCTTGTAAGTTGTAACTCTTTCTCTCTCTTCGCAGTACAAACTGGTTTGGCAGTAGCTGTAGCAGATACTCAGTGAACCCTCAAATGGCCTCTGAAAGCAAATCCAAGTCCAGCAACAATACCAATACCAATAAGAACACCACAAAGAGGAAGCAAAGATATTTCCCTTTCAACGTCAGCTCTCTCTCTCTATTCCTATATATATGCATTTGATTTTCCGATGCTAAAATCCAATTTCTTTTTAATTTTTCAGACAAGTGTAGTGCCGGGATTCTTCATCACCTGTGATGGTGGGAGGGAACGCCAAGCCTTTCATGAATCCATTATTGTTATCAACTCTGTATGATCTATTCTCTCACCTTTTCTCCTTACAACCACACATTTTCTACTTGTTTCTGTATTGCTATTAATTATAAAATCTTTTCTTGCCACTTCACTTTTCTTTTTTCCCTATGCCTATACATGTTTGTTTGTGTGTTAACCGTATGATCTTTTGTTGCTAGCTTTCGAAATTGGTTTGTTTTTAGGGAAAATTTCATTGAAACCCGTTTGTCCCATGTGTGGCTTACCCTTATTTGAAAATAATCACATAACCCCTTGTGATTAATAGTAAGTGTGAAATAGGTGCCAGGACATAAGTTTATGTGCTCATTTTCAAATGTCAAAGGTAAATTGCACATGGAGTAAAGCACACGGGGTTAACATGAATTTTGCTTCAAAATAAAAAAAAAATGATGAAAATATGAGGTTACTTGTGTACAAGGGTATTTTAGTCTTTTTGCCCAAGCCGTTAACAGGCTTGATTGTACAATTTAGTCCACAAACCAATGGGGGTTATGTGCACGTTGGCCATGTGCTATTAGAAAACGCTAATAATCTAGCGAATTATGTATTTGTACGTATGTTCCAAAATATGGTACACTTTCGTTCCAAAACAGTAAATTTAGTGATCCGAAGTGATTTCAAAAGTTTTTTCTAATATATTTCCTTAAATGTTCATCTTCGGAGGAAAAAAATCAAATATGATGAACTAAAATTTAAGGTGACTTAAGTTTTGACAAGACAAAAACATCAAAAATGAATATATATATTTTATTGGATGCCTAATAGTTAAAAGGAAATTACTCTAAATGTATTTTAAATTCTCAAGTACAATATATATAAGTTTACCCCTTTCGTAGCACATTTTAGAGCATGTGGCGTACCACGTTTCCATTCTCGTTTCACGTATCGAAATGATCCGTACTCCAGGTAACATAGGGCCAAACCGCAAGGGGCCCCTTGCTTTTATCATCCAAATTGCATAGAATATTTTTTTTTGTTATTGTGAAAACAACTATACGTAATATTTGTATGAATGCCATTTAATTATGTTGGACCAACCAAAAAAAAGAAGAAAATGTGCTATGTTCGTATTTTAGGTGAGCTTATGGGCCCCTATGAAAAAAAATTATTGATAGGTTCTTATTGTTTTGCTTGAATTGTGTGATACTTGTGACAGATTGGCTTTTGTGGTAATGTTTCATTTTTCTCAAAGCACTGTATATTTGTGGCGAAAAATTTATGGGTAAAAATTGAGTTGAGGTATAAAGACACAATTTCCCCCTAAATGTACTTGATAATGGGATATGATTTCCCCAAGATTCATGATAAAATTTTCATTGGGAGAAATGAATACTTAAATATACTCTTGCATGTAGTTGGGTGAACCCCCTATGAAGTTTTCTGTGTATCATATAATATAATCAAATACTTGTACAATATTACTGATAAGTATTTCAATGTATACTTTTCCATGAAGCAAGCAGTTTGACTTGGCTAAAAAGATGCAATAGGCTCAAGTTTCTAAGATATCAAATGGTGATCAACATTAATTACTAATAATAAGAGCCGCATTCCATCTATGTATCATAAGTTAAATGAATTTCATTTTACCATAACACTTTGTCAGGGACATTCGTTATTATCTTTTACCTCTGACTTGGTGTTATCTTTACAACGTTGTTCTGCAGTATGCATAACTTGATTTATATTGTCCGTATAGTTGTATGACTAATTTTAATGCTCTGTATTCAGAAACATATATTGGTTTTTTTAAGGGAGATTTAATACCATAGGTCTCATATATATATATATATATGTTTTTCATATACCATAGGTCTCATATATATATATATATATATGTTTTTCATATACCATAGGTCTCATATTTAATACGTGGAAAATCCTATAAGGGGGGCACACCATATGCATCCTATCATAAATTGGCGTAATTTTATCACAAAATTTCATACTATTAACCACAAAATGCGTAACCTTCCCTGAAATTGACTTAACAAAAAATGTAGTAACCAAGTCACAAACTTTTGTAACATCAACCACAAAATTTTGGACATTTCGTTATGCTAAGTTGTGATGAGATAATGCATTTTGTAGCTGATGTTACGAAATTTTGTAATGAAATTGCGCAACTTGTGATATGTACCCCTAAGAGGATGCACACTAAAGAATTTCTCATTTATATATCATGAGAACTCGTTTGTTTAGTGGTATAAAAGTGGGGTTAGGGCATTTCGAGGCTTGTGTCTGAAATGGTTATCGAACTGACTGTATTGGATTGTGAATCAAAAGATATTTTATAAATATCAAATCGTTAATCGTAGATATTCAAATACCTTTTTAAAAATACTCAGTACATAAGAAAATGAGAAATGCTGGAGAAGAAGAATAATATAATTGAATGGCTTAGTCTAGAATGGAGATTAGTTTGTGTATATATACTGATAAAGATTTACAAGATAGGAAATAATATAAAAAGAAACAAAATCAAGGTCTAAACAATGGCCATATAATAAGACCTAATTAATTCTAATTCCAGCACTCCCCCCCTCAAGCTGGTGCGAAGTCATTCTACAAACCCAGCTTGACGAAGGATGGACTCAGAAGAATAGACAAAGGATGGACTCATAATACTAGTACGAACCTTTTCTCGAATGAAATGTATCACAAAACAAAAGAGATGAAACACCCTCAATAAATCCTAACTCTGCAAGAATGGAGTGAAGCCATAAAACTTCACATACATGTACCCTGTGCCATTGCTTGATACTCAGCTTCAACAAAAAACCTAGAAACAATAGCATGTTTCTTACTTTTCTATGGTATAAGGTGATCACCATAAAAAGTGTAGAAACCAGATGTAGACTGTCTATTAGTTCTAGATCTTGCATAGTCCGCATCAGTGAAACAAGAGTCCTGATTGATGACCAGTGGTGAAAAATAATTCCAAACCAGGAGAAGTCTTCAAATTCCGCAAAATATGATAAATATCAAGATGCTCTGTATGAGGTGTATGCATAAATTGACTTAGAACACTAACCGCAAAAGTTAAGTTGGGTGTAGTGTTATATGAGACGGCTAACGGAAGCGTTGATTCATGCCTGAATCCTGTAGTAACTCGCCAGAATGTAATGTAAGCTTGAGGTTTGGATCTATAGGAGTAAAAACTGGCTTACACCCTAGCATTCCAGTGTCATGAAGAAGATAAAGAACATATTTCCTTTGGGACAACGAAATCTCCCGATGCGAGCAAGCAACCTCAATACCCAGAAAGTATTTGAGAGGGCCTAGATCCTTAATGTCAAATGCTTGACTCAAATCTCTCTTTACTTGAACCATGCCAACTGAATCATCACCTGTAAGAATGATATCATCAATATATACAAGCAAAATAATACACTGACCAGTGGAAGTCTTGTGAATAAATCAAGTATGAACTGAGTGGCACTGAACAAATCCTGTGGATAAAATAATAGAGCTAAAGCGACTGAACCAGGCGTGAGGAAACTATTTAAGCCCATATAAGGACTTGCACAGTCAATACACCATCCCTGCATACTCCCCCTCAGCTTGAAAACCAGGTGGAGAATCCATATAAATAGTCTCAAGTAAGTCCCCATGCAGAAAGGCATTCTTGACATCCAGTTGATGTAGAGGCCAAGAATGTGAGGCAACAAGAGAGATAAGGAGCCTAACAGAGGTAAGCTTGGCGACTGGTGCAAAGGTAGCCCCAAAATCCTTGCTAGGAACCTGAGTAAAGCCCTTGGCAACCAGCTGTGCTTTGTAGTGGTCCACAATGCCATCTACAAAGATACTTAATATTGAACACCCATTTGTGGCCAACAATCTTTTCACCAGATGGAAAAGAGATACAAACTGCTTGTTACACCCTGGATTTCCAGGATTCGACCCACGGAAATTTAAGTATAAATAATAAAAGAAAAGAAAATAATTTAAATAAAAACGAAGTCTCTAATATAGATGGTTATAACGTCATACATTTCATGAGATTTGTCCAATTACATGCATCTTATATTCATCATCTAGATGGAGTGAATATACAGTATGTAAAGCAAAATAGTATTATAGTAAATAAGTAAAGTGCCCTTAGGCGTACATCAACAATAGGGTTCAACCCTTAAAAAAAATATAAAAAATTGGCACTTGACCTACAAAAGATGGCTTAATGCCTACAAATCAAGAGAGCTCTTCTAGTTTGCACATATATTCCACCGCCTCATATCAAGGTCGGGGCACGCCACCAACACTTGAAAAAGATTTTAGCCACGTAGGGTGAACATATAGTCCAGTAGGATAACATTTCAAAGGATAATATGCATTGACACGTGTGCATGATCATGATGTTCTACATGAGTATAACGTGCTCAAAACCATGGGAGAGAAAAGTAAAGGAAGATAGAGAGAGAGAGAGAGAGTTAAGAGTGTAATGTGTAGAGTGGGTTTTAGGTTCAGAAATATCTAAAAAGTGGTTCAAAAATGCTAGGTGGACGTGTAGCCACATCAGTCCATTTTAGCATGGCCACTCGAGCAGTGCCTACCTTAGACCATTTTGCTTGGTCGTGGCTTGAGCGCCCGTTTCTGCTGCTCGTGCGCTCAATAATTCACTGCTCGAGCGGTCCTCCTGGCCGCTCGAGAGGACCGCTCGAGCGGCCCATTCCTGGGTAGGCTTTTGCTCCTAATTCAATTTTGAGGTTCGTTGGTTCTCCCAAATGCTCGAAACAAGTTTAACAAAAGTGTTACGTGTTAAACAATTGTAATGACAATTTAACTAATCAAATATCAACCCGGTCCATTAATTTGCAAGCCCGAGAATACGTCAGGGCATCCATACATGTGGTTTTCAAGTCAAGTTTTAAACCCGAGATGCTACACTGCCAGGTCTGATTTTGTTCGAAAGTTGCCATCTCTGTTTGCATAGCAGCCACCCCCACTTGGGATTCGAAAGAGTTTCTGATACAGAACGAGGAATAGTTTCCAACTTGAGCTTGCCAAGGAAGGAATGATAAGCAAGAGAGACACTGTTATAATAAAGATATTGGGAAATATGATGATTAGTACTGCTATGATATCCAAAACGATTAGGAGGATGTCTATTGTGAGGAGGGTTGCGACGAGGAACAATAACCAAAGGAGAAGAATTAGCTGACCCATGTATCGAAGAGGTTGTTGGCAGGGGACGAGGACGACGAGAATATACCTGCAATGGAGGTAGAGGAGGTGGAGGAGGAGGAGAGGAAGGAAGAGGAGCCTCAGCTTCAATCTCGGGAGAGACAGCTTCAATCCCATGAAAAATGGGAAGAGGCCAAACATTGGAGGCCAGAAATGGGACAAGAGAGAAAGAGGAATCCTGCACAGAAGAGTGAGTACCAAAAAAGGGAATCTTAATGTCACATCACAAGAATGATAGTACCTACGAGTGCTAGGATCATAACACCGATACCCTTTAGATATAGTAGAATACCCTACCAAGATATATCTAATAGCTTTATCATCTAACTTAGTGCGAATAGGACTCAGGTTCTTAATAGAACAAGTGCACCCAAAAACCCGAGGTAGGAGAGGAAAAAGAGTCCTTGTAGGGTGTAAGGCCTTGAGGGTCAAGACCATGTAAGACACGACTAGGAGTGCGATTAATAAGATAAATTGCAGTAAAAATAGCGTTATGCCAGTAAAACTTAGGTACATTTGTTCCCTTGAGAAGACAACAAATCACAGACATAATTTGATGTTTTTTTCATTCATCATTCCCATTTTGTTCTAGAGTATTAGGACAAGTAAGTTGTTGAAGTATAGCAGCCTGGCTAAGATGGGAACGAAAAATATCAGAGATGTATTCCCCACCATTATAAGATTGGATATGTCGAACAACAGTGTAAAACTGGGTTTTAACTATTTGAAGAAACTAAACAAACATAGGGAAGGCATTAGATTTACGTTAGCAAGATAAACCCAAGTACAACGAGTTGGTCATCTATAAAGGTCACATAATATTTATGGCTGGACAAAGCAGTAACATGTGAAGGACCCTAAATATCATAATGAATAAGATCAAACACAGAAAAAGCACGATGCATGCGAGGAATATAAGTAGTGCGTGCATGTTTAGCTAACACACACACATCACATTGAAACTAATGAGTCTTACAAGCTTCATTAAAATTTGGAAACAATAAACATAAATACTAGAAATTTGCATGACCCAGACGAGCATGACAAAATGTTAAAATCTTAAAAGAAAAAACATAGTAGGATAAATCCACAAGTAACATAGAAGTGGAAAAACTAGAAAGAGGCGGCTGATCTGGTGGATCTCCGAAGTAGTATGAACTGTCACGCTCATATCCCTTACAAAAAATCTTCTTCGAACTTAGGTCCTATAACAAGCTAGAATTGGGTAAGAAAATGACAACACAATGAAAGGCCTTCGCAAGCCTACTCACAGACAAGATTTTACGCAAAATTAGGGACATGTAGGACAAAGGAAAGAGTAATATTAGGAGATAGAGTAACACCACCCGATGACGAACGGAGGTAGTAGAACCATTAGCAAGACAAACAGTTTGGGTTGTAGCAAGAACTGGAGAAGAAAGGTAGGAAAGCTCACCCGCCATGTGGTCATTTGCCTTAGAATCGAGAACCAAAGTAGGATGTGCAGAGCGAACATGGAAAGTAGGAGTACCGATAGCCAAAGTGATAGTAGAGGATGATGGTCTGGAAGATATCATAGAATCAAGCTAAGCTAGAAGCTAACCAATCTAACTCTGAGGGAGATGCAATTCTAGAGTAGTAGAACACAGGACGGTCTCCACAACAGCAGCAGTGCGGGAGGAGCCTGATGGACGAGCACAGGAGAAACGTTGTCACTAGGTATGGTCATGGGGTGGATTTTTGCTAGATTTGTTAATACCGGCCTCGGCCCCCTCTACTTCATCCCCCGCCCTGTCCTTGTTACGGGGCGGAGTTTTTTTTCTTGCCCACGCACATTCGGCATCCGAACCCCCCCTGGTTAACCTGACTAAGTAAACCAAACTTGTTGCTTCATTCTACTAGAATAAAAGTGAAGATTAGTGGTTTAAGAGAGAGTTAATTTTTTTTGCTCACAAGACAAAATCCAATTTATAAAACTCACTCATTATAAAAGAGAACCTATTAAACAAAACTCATAAAATTTGATATGGAACCTGTTAAAGAAAACTTGAAAATAAAATAGGTAAAATAACCTATTTATGTAAAAACAGAATAAATAATATATCAAACAAAGAGTTCATTAACTTAAAAAAAAAAAAAAAAAAACTAAATCCATGCCATCTCAAATTCATAAAGTCTCAAATGTTAAATAACCAAGGCAGTAGCAAAAATTACAAACTAAGTTTAAAAACTGTCTAATTGACCAAGATGAAATGCCTTTTGAGTAAACAAAACAACAATAAACCCCTGCTACTTCTCTAGCTCGGTGACAACACTTTCCTCTTCATGATCATCATAATCATCAAGAATTGTTTGTATTGTGCTATCTTTCGGCATAGACGAAGAACCTACAAACAAAAGCAAATAATATAAAACAAATTAAACCCCATAAATTTAAAAAAAAATCTGAATTTCATAAAATAATAAATTGTAGTTTTTTTACCTTTGATTTCACTCCATAACCAATTTTGAGCACACATCAACGCCTCCAACGTCTTTGGATGAAGCCAACTACAGTGTGGACTCAACAATCTCCCACTAGTGCTAAAAGCAGATTCTGAAGCAACTATTGACATGGGAATAGCCAAAATATCCCTTGCAATGCGTTGCAAAGTAGGATACTTGAGACCATTAGTTCTCCACCAAGACAAAATATCAAAATCCGAGGTTCTTGGTAACACTCCATCCTCGATGTAATGATCCAACTCCAATTTGACATTCCTACTCTTTCTATGATTATTACTATTAACAATCAAATCAAAGTTGGACTGCGGGTCTTGGATCCTAGATTGAGAGCTCTTAGTCACACAAGATGAAGAAATTTCATAATTTGTTTCTTCATCCATTTTCCTACAATGATACTCATCAAGCAAGTCATAGCAAATTTCTTTTATCTGGTCGATTTCTTCCTAAGACCAGGCACCATAAATTGTGGGGGAAAACCACTCCAACAACTTCATCTTATATCTTGGATCCAAAACAGCAGCAACACTCATAATACCATGAGCCACATTCCAGTCATTTTCAAATTTGTCTAGCATACTGGATGCCATCTTCTTAATCAATTCATTTGGACACTTGATCCATTCACACAAAGCAATTTTCAATACACAAACCAATTTTCAATTCACAAACCTTAGGAAAATACATGTTAACTGTAGGGTAGGTAGCACTAGAAAAAAATTCAATCACATTATAGAATAGGTCTAACCTCCCACAAATATCTTTAGCTACCTCCCAATCATTCTATTGGACACGTAGTTGTCTTGTTGTTTCCTCAAACTTTTGCTTTCTCTTTGGTGATGCAGTCCAAAAAACTACACTATCACAAACCTTCTCAATACCTTCACCAATAACAGGTCAACCATCTTGAACAATCAAATTAATGATTTGAGCAGCACAACGCATATGCAACATTGATCCTCCTAAAATAAGTGAACTGACTTGGAGCTTGCCCAATAGAATTTTTATAATGGCATCATTTGTAATACAATTATCTAGAGTCACAGTAGATAACTTCCTATCAACATTCCACTCTAACATGCAATCTAGAAGAACATCGGAAAGGACTTCCTTTGTATGTGGAGAAGGTACATAAATGAACCTAAAACAACAAATTAAAGGGTAAATTACAAACACACTCCCTGAGGTTTACTTAAATTACAATTACCCCTTGTGGTTCTAGAAATTACATTATATCCCTTAAGGTTTTTAATTTCATAACAAATAGGTCCTTTTATTAATAAATCATCAAGTTAATTAATAGTATTTAATAATGTTAAAATTTTATTTTAATTAATAATTCAGATAATTTTATTATTGTATAGGTGAATAGTTAGAAATTTCACTTTTTTAATTAATTCTGTTAAATAAAAAATTCTGACAACGAGGCATTTGTAATTTTTCAAACCACAGGGGGCAATTTATATTTTAAGCAAACGGTGTATTTGTAATTTATCCTAAATTAAATGATTACAACATAATTTAACCAATAAATTATCGACAGAAAAATTATTCACTTAAAAAAAACTACCTCATAATTCGACTTTCCAAAGTCCAAGAGTCATCAATATAGTGTGCTGTGATGTGACAACCATGAATCCTCTCTTTTTATTACTTGAAGTTCACATTCCTCTCTTTTTATTACTTGAAGTTCACATGCCAGTTGTGATTGCAATTCTGCTTGAACTCTTCTCCACCTTAATCAAAGTCTTCTCCTTTTCTTGGTCATAAATTTTCAAAATGTCCCTCTTTAAGGTGCTTCTAGAAATCATGAATTTTTTTTAAACCCAATGTGTTCAACCATTGCAAGAGGGTACTCATGTAAGATGACCATGTTAGCAAGATCCCTTCTTGCTACATCTTGGTCGAAATGATAATTGTTAAGACTCACTTCTCTATTTGGCTTATTTTGTTCTTTTATTAAAATTTGTTGATGCAGGACGAATAGGGACAGCGCTGGATTTTCAAAACAGAGGTTATTTCATGGCCTAAACAGTGAGTAATTTGTGGTTTCAAGAATAAATTGAAGGCTAATAGGTAGGGGAAGGGATTAGGGTTGATTTTAGGGTGATTGGATGGTGTTTTGAGGTTGAAAAATGCACTTTTAGAGGGCTGTAAATAGTAATCCGAGAATAGCAAATTGAAACATAAAAGAAGAAAAAAGGTCTAGGCATCGCACCTAGATTCCCTTAGGTGTCACACCTAGGGTTGGGTTGCATCACACAAACCCTAAAGAAGCTTCAAAGCTCTCAACTTTGTATAAAATATCAACTCTATTAACATAAAAGAAGAAAAAAGGTCTAGGCATCGCACCTAGATTCCCTTACCTAGGGTTGGGTTGCATCACATAAACCCTAAAGAAAGGTCAAAGCTCTCAACTTTGTATAAAATATCAACTCTATTGAATTATAAGCATTACATGGCTTTATAAAGGACTAGAAGACTTCCTAAACCAACTAGAAGTAAAATAGGAAACTACCAAAATATTTTTGACTTCCAAAACTAATTTAAAACTAAATAAGAAAAAAAACAAAGACTAATTAAATAACTTGACTCACAAGACGACCCATGGGCGACCCCAATAGCCCATGTAGGCAAATATAAAATTACCAAAATACCCCTCATATAAAAATCCTAGAAACATAAAAATAATCATAAAATAAAACTATAATAATATTAGAAATATGATTATGTATGATTCCTATCGATTTCTCTTTGAAATCATTCCAATTTTCAAATATCGCCGCTTCTTTAAATTTACTCATCTTTGAGCTGTTTAGATTCAGTATCTAAATAATCATAAAATAAAACTATAATAATATTAGAAATATGATTATGTATGGTTCCTATCGATTTCTCTTTGAAACCATTCCAATTTCCAAATATCGCCGCTTCTTTAAATTTACCCTTCTTTGAGTTGTTTATATTCCACATCATTTATTGCCTCAAATCTCTAATATCTTTAAACTTTCGCCTTTTACATCGGTTGAAGTGACCACGCAAATGGCTAGTCCCTTGTTTGCTATCCCCTAAAAACAATTTATTACAATAATTGTATTCTTCCTTGTCTTTTCCATCAACTTTCCGTTTCATAAAATGATTCCAAACAGGTGATGGTGTCTTTCTTTTAGTATCTTCCGATGAAATTAAAATTGGATTGTCAGTAGGGACACTGCCCTTGTTTGTATTTGTGTCATTTATCAACACTGTAGATTGAAAGGATGGAGTTGTGGTGGCCAATGGTGGGGACTGAGACAGACTCATCTTCCATCTACAAAGAAATAGGACTTGTTAACATTATAAATTATTATCACTGTATATGTGTATATGTTACTTGTATTTAAATGTCTAGAATATATTAAATTGGGGAAATAAAAACATTCAGATTAGATAACATCTAAGAAATAGAACTACGAATTACAAATTAAAAAATACAGATTTAAGAAACAAAACATCTCAATCATACAAAATTAAATTAAAAAAATATAAGAGACAGAAAAATACATTAATGGAGAGATTTACGTACATTGTTGACCCGAGGTAGATAAACAAATCAAATCAGAGCAGCAGTGAAAGTACGAGTAAGAAAATGAGTTTCTTTCTTGTGAGGTAGAGAGATAAGTAAATGTAATAGTGAAAAGTTTGATATATATGGAGGGATAGAGAGAGATAGAAAGAATTATAATAGATTAATAGGATTTTATTAAGAAAAGGAAAAGTCCCAAACAGCTACCAACGTGTACAACCTACAGGTTATTATTATGAGATTTTGAGACTTGTTTTTATCATAAATAGTTTAAAAGTCTTTAGTCTTTTAGACTCCCAATAAGTAGATGAAAAGTCTCAGAATCTTCTACACTCGTTACATATGCAATATTTTATATATTAATTTATATATAATATAATATATATTATTTATATACGGTCGAGTTCCAATTGGATAGTGCATTCCCCGTCCCTTGCCCTGACCCCGCTTTGGGTGGGGGAAAAAACACCCGCCCCCGCCCCATCTCTTCAATGGATCGGGTAATATCCACCCCATTTACATTGGGTATGAGCAAGTCCCCGCTAGGCAGGTCAAACCCTCCCTAGTTGTCGCAACTCAGGATAGAGTTTGAAATAGTGAACCTTGACATGACCTGGTTCTTCACAATGATGACAAATTACCTTCCCAGCAGAAAGATGAGACCTAGACGAAGCCATCTGATCAGAGGAGACATGAGGCTCAGGAACTGGAGTAGAAACAAGTTGAACCAACCGGCGGCGGTGCTCATTATTATCAATAATAGCAAAGGCCTCATAGAGGGAAGGCTGAGGAGATGTGTTTAAAATCTAAATGTGAAGAGGCTTGGAGTTTAAACCCATCAAGAACTGGTATGTATGCTGCTGAACAAGACGCTTGGTCACAAGAGAAGCTGCTTCGGTTGGAAGATTATTCAAAGGCTCATATTGAGCCAACTCTTCCCAACGTGCTTGAAGATACCCAAAGAATTCAGCTACAAAGATACACAAAGAAGATTGAGAAGCATGAGTAATATCTTGTTAGAGCTCCAAGATGCGAACATCATGATGAGCACGAGCATACATCTAAGATAAGGTGCGCCATAAACCAGGAACGGTATCATAATACAGGAACGTATGATAAATCTGGTCCTCCATGGAATTGAACATCCATCCCAAAATAGTGCAGTTATCCATTGACCACGTATAGAATTTGTGGCGTCTGGCTGAGTAGTGGTAGATGAAAGCTAATGAGCTTTTCCCTTTCTTCATAAATAAAGTTTAAGGGAACGACTCCAGGCAGTGAAATTTTTCTAATTTAGTACCAACCTCGTGGTACAATGAACAATAGTATGATGTGAGAGAGATAGCTGAAGTAACTGGTACCACAGTAGAAACATCAGATGAAGACTGTCATGGTGGCTAGAAAAATAGGTGATGTGTATAGTTAACAATATAGAATGATACACAAATCATAGAATACACCGAACACACGGTGTAACTAATCCAACAAGTGCTACCGAACAATCTGATAGCCCACCAACAAAAATAATGAAGAAAATATGTTTACCACATCAACACAAGAACCTTAGAAGGGTAAAAAAGGGGTAAAACTACCTGAGAAGACCAGCCGCCCTGGGCCCAAGCCAAAGGGGTCGTAGTCGGCACCTAAAAGACTGATGGCAGTAGTTTTAAGGGGCTGCCGAGTGGCTATGTAGGGAGGAAGGTGGTTGTCGGCTAGGGGTAGAAGGAGAATAAAGGGTATCAAGTAGATGGGTAGGAGAGAGAGGCTATTGGTGTAATAGGTGGGGCTATCGAGTGAATGAGAGAAGTTTGTGGCTGGGTTTTGCTTTGATACCAAGAAGAATGGTAGAATTGAATGGCTTAGTCTAGAATGGAGATTAGCTTGTTTATATACTAATAGAGATTTTCAAGATAGGAAATAATTTAAAAGGAAACAAAATTAAGGCCGAAACAATGGCCATAAAATAAGACTTAATTGATTATAGTTAATTCTAATTCCAACAAGAGATTCACATTATAGACTTTGAAATTTATTTACAATAATATAATTGAGTGCATTACAAATTAAATGTTGACACCTAACATGTCACATTATTGTAGGTCAAATTATGAAAATATATTTTACTAACATTTTCCAGGATAGAAGGTAGTTGTGCGCAAAGCACAATAGTCTCCGTTCTGTATGTGTTGGGGTTCATTCTAGGTCTTACTTAATGATCCAAACCATTCACTTTAGGGTACATCAAGTAGAATATTCTTGTAGATAATCAAGTTTATTGGATAGGATTTGGAGTGGCTATTCTGCCCCATGCACAACTACCATTGTTGTGTGTGCAATGGGGCTTGTTTCGTATCTTATTTCGATTATATGAACCATTCACTTTGTAGAGTTCATCGAGTAGAGGTAGCCCCATAATTAAGTTGATTGGGTATAGGTAGCCCCATAATTAAATTAAATTTGTATTTGCAACAAAGAAAGAAAAAAAAAAAGCTGATGTGATTTTGAGTACAAAAATTCATACAAATGTGATTTGATCATTGGCTTACTAATATCCAATCAGCTTAATTTTTGCATGAATATTCTACTCGACGTACCATAAAAGGTGAACGACTCATATTATCAAAGTAAGATCTAGAATGAATCTCAAAGAGCGCACAACAGTAACTGCTGTGCTTTGCGCACGGCACACCTTCTATCCCATTTTCCATAGTAAAATAGATCTATGTATTTAGATATTAAAAATATCTTGTGAATATGATAAATGGTCAAAAAATTGATGTTAAACGATTTTATGAAAAGAAATAAAATTAAAATTTTTTACGCATATTATAAAATGCATATTATAAAATTCTTTAATATAAGAACGTGATTATAATGTGTAATTGAGAAAACATTTAGATTTATTACAAATAATGTGGATCAAAATCCCACCAATTAGAAGTATAATTTGGTTTTGAAGTAAACCACGATCAAACCATTATTTATGATTTCATAAAATTTGAAAGCAAACCAAACAATGAAAAATCTTAAAATCAAATTGAACCAAACCAAAAAAAAACAAAAAAGTTTTGTTCAGTTTGGAACTACGATTGTCATGAATTGTGAAATCATTCACAATATAATGACAATTTGCTCAAAGATCAAGAAGTATAATTATCATTTACAAACAAAATTGTTCAAATGATCATTTAAAACTTTTTTTTTTTTGGGTGGGTGAATCATTTAAAACTAGTTCTACTATTATAGAACACACTTGTAGGCAAAGTGTTAACAATTAAACGGTCCGGTTAGATTCTAAACTTGAACCATAACTATAAAATTACGAAACCGAACCAGAAAGTACGGTTCACCTATTTTTAGAACTAAGATCGAACCATGCATTGAGAAAATCAAACCAAACATGTTATTTGATCTAGATCAGACCGATTTACAAATCACTCGAAAACCAAACCAAACCACACAACACCAC